GTTCTTGGACACATGTGCCTGGCACGAGGCTTTGGAGGATGGCACAGTGAGCACTCGTGGGTGGGCTTGGTTGCAGACTCCGAGCCCCTGTTTGGGGGCTGAGGGTGGGAGGGGGAGTTGCCGACTTCATTTCGTGTCACGGATGGAGAAGCCCTGGCACTGGAAGGGATGGTAAAAAGAGGAGACAGGCGGTGGCCTGAGTTCAGGGCCCCGCTCAGGCTGGGAACTGATTTCACTTGTCCCTGTGGGGAAGGCTCCCCATTTGAAACCATCACCCTCCCCACTCAGATGTCTGTGTTTCAGCACATTGTCCTCTGAAGCCAGAGGACGTGTCGCAGGCATGGCAGCTGTTCCGGATAGGCGAAGAGAAAGGAGCTCAACTTCCCAGGGAATGGAAGCGCAGCCTGAGGTGGCCCTGCCAGTGGAGGGGCTGCAGCTGGTGACATGGGGACAGCAACTCTGTCAACTCTGCTCAGCCAGGGAGAATACTTTCGTTTCACTCTTTATTGCAACCCAGACTGTTGTTAGCAGACCCTACACCCAGCAACTCCTCGTGCCTGCTCTCGCCACAAGGAGAAGTCTTGGAGATTGGCTCTTCTGTACCTGCTCCCTCTCAAGCTGCTGGGCCAGTCCTAACTGGACCTTCAAACCACCTGAAGCAGACCCCGGGGGAGCTTCTGCCTGTGCAGGGTGATTACTCTTACACTTGAGAAAGTCTTCAGGTTTGCATGGAAGATTCCTTTCCTCTCTTGCAAAGAGGGCACTTCTGCCTGACTCCCTAAGGCAGAAGAGCCACCAGTCCTAGAATCTCGGAGGCGTTGAAAACCAGTTTTCCAAGCAGCCAGTGCTGCCTTTGTTCCAGGTTTTTGATGCTGGTTCACTGGTTTGTGTGTCGCAGAAGCAAGACACCCTATTGATGCCCCTGCTCCCAGCTAACTGTTCTAGCTGCATCTGATTGGTCAAAATCATCTGTGCCTGGGCCTTAGAGCGGAGGCTCGGATCAGGGAGGCAGACGGTTGCCTTTGGACAGAGCCACACTGCTGGGTTATTTTCCAGCCTCTCCCTGCATACCTTCTCCAACATTCTCACTTACTCACCCAACGAACAGGTACTGAGCAAACATGTCAGGCACTGTTCGAGGTGCTGGGATGGATAAGACAAGGTTCTTGTCTTCCTGGAGCTCATGATCTCCTGGGTGTGACATATAAGTTGCCAAGTATCCCATAAAGATGAAGGAAATGAGGGTTATGTTTGTAGTCCAGCCATAGTGTTTCTGATGCTAATGGAGCTTACTTTGCGTTTACACGTAGTAATGCATGTCATTCTTATACAACCCTAAGAGATGAGCTCTTGCCTCATCTCTGTCCTGCAGATGAGGAGACTGAAGCCCAGCAGGGTCAGGTGACTTGTCTAAGGTCTCATAGCTGATAGGACATAGAGCGGGACGTTCACCCTAGGCTGTCTGGCTCCAGAGCTTGGGCTGTTAGAACTCTTAAAAAGGATCAATCCATTCTGACGAGGAAGATGGAGGGGACTTCCCAAAGGAGGTGGCATTTGAACTGGGCAAGGTGGTGAGCCTGGAAGATTGGGTGGGAGAGGAGACCTTACCTGGTAAGGTAAGAGTGTGAGTGTTTGGGACTATTCACTTACATCTTTCCATGAGTACAAATCTTCAGGCCATTTTTCCTCTTGAAAGGGAATCGTTCATGGGAGGACTGAGCTGTGTGCCCAGGCAGCCAAGGAATCAGTACAGCTGGGCTTTGAACAGATTGTTTGCGGTTTGAACCCCTGCTGAGAATTTGCATTTCCAACAAGTTCGCAGGCGATGCTAATGCTGCTGGTTAGGGACCAATTCTGAGAACTACTAGTACAGCAGTGGTTTTCAAAATTTATTATACATAAGAATCGCCCGGGAATCTTGTTAAAACTGTACACTCTGATGGAGTATATTTGGGTGGAGATACAAATTCTCATTCGCACCAGTTGGAAGCCCTGCAGTACAAGCTACTTCTTTGGGGTCTTTGGAGCCATCTGCCCTCGCCTTCTCTTTCCCCTTTTCCTCGAGAGACCTTACTGGCTGTGCACTACAAAAAGTGGATTAAATACCCTAGTCCTTGCTTTTGGGGATTTTACTAAATAGTTATCACTGGCAGAATTGAACGACCTAGAGCAACTGGACTAAAACCAAAGGACCCCCGCTGGAGACTTATTTAAAACAAAGTGTCTAGATGATTATGTTAGGATCCAGCCACACCAGGGAATACCATGTGGCCGTTAGAAAGGACAAGTTTATTTGTTTTGTGCTCATCGCTCTTAAATTAAATCAGTGTGGTTAACAAGAGCCCATTTGTGTAGAAATACATACCTTTAAAACATTTCATAAAGATTGATTAATTAATTAAAGATTTCCGCAAAATAAAATCTAGACAGATCAACAGTGGAATCTTTTAGGTTGAAGGGTGATTTAAAAATGATTTTTTAATCTGTATTTCTTTTTACTATTTTTTTTACAATGAGCATGTATTATTTTTGTAATATGATTTTTTTTTTTTTTTTTTAATGTGTTTTCTTTAAAAAGAAAAAGTGTAGGAAGGACTTCAGGTGTAAGCTCCCATCAGGAAGGAACCTGAGTTTCTTGGTTGGAGAGTTTGGATTTCTGCACTGGACTCTGAGGTGCTGGCTTCCGGGGCCCCCTTAGCTTTGCTTCTGCTGTGGTATCTCAGGGAGATCTGAGGTCAGACCACTCTGGGACCAGTGTCCATCATCAGCTTCTGTAAACTGCCTAGAGACAGGTCTTCAGTGATGCCCTGAGGCCCCGCTGCCAGCTTTTCACCCCAAGCTGAGAAATGGAGCCATCCCATGCCAGGAGCGTGGTGGTGGCTGTGGCACTTCGGGATGGCGACTAGGTTAGCAGTTTGTAGCTTAGATGAGGGAGACCAGGACCCTTAACTTCTGACCCCAAACACTTTCTAGCTCTTGGAATCTCCCCTGCCACCAGAATGTAGGCCTTCCCTGGGTTCTGTTATCTCTTAGTTGCTGGAAATCCATTTCTCATTGGATAAAATTTTGAAGCTTGCCACATCTTTGCTCAGGAGCCCCGTTCCTCTCCCCCCACTGCCACCCCCACTGTTCTTGCTTTGGGAGTTTCCTTAGGACCATTCTTTGAATGAAGTTGGGTGGTTGACAGACCAGAATCCGAATTCTCTCTCACTAGTGATGGGACTTGGCCAGGACCTGACTGCCCGTTCCAGCTCCCTCAGCCTCAGTTTGCTGTCTAGACAATGGGCAGTACCTCTGTTACAGATAGCACTTGGAAAGTGCCCAGGCATTCACTTAGGCATTCAGTAGATGTTGGTTCCCTTCTCTTGTTCTAGTTGAGAAGAAAGATGTGTGCATGGGCAGATACCAGCATAGCCATGGCCCCACTCACTCCTAGGAAATATTCCAATCTTCAAGAAATATTTGGCTGCTGTGTTGCCTGCTCCCTGATACTCATGGGTTCTGGCACAATCTTAGGAATGCTAAGGGCATTCTGTCCTGGCTGCGGAGGAGAGCCAGTGCCGCCCAAGCCAGTGATTTGGGTGTGGGTAGGGGAGGGGGAGAGAGAAGCCCCTGAGGTTAGTGTTGGGTTGGGGTGTTTGGGGTCTCTGGAGCCAGGGGAGTGAAGTCCATGACTGGGGATGGGGGGGGGGACCCAGGAGGTTTTGTTCCTATTGGTAGTAATACTGAGTTAATGTGTGTAGAGTTTTTAGGACATTGTAAGCCATCAGTAAACATCAGCTACTGTCAGGATCACTTAGTTGAGGAGTGGTCGTGGGTGGTAGGGGCTGTCATCTACGTTATCTTGCAGGAATCCTCTGAGGTAGACGCTACTTCCCCCCTTTTACAGATAAGGGAATTTGAGGCTCAGGAAGGTAAAGTAACCTTCCCAAGGTCACACAGCTACTAAGTGCCAGAGTTGGGATTTGAATCATCCTGGTCTGTCTGGCTCCAACCCCTCCACCTTCCCTGTGACTGTTCTCCACGCTGATGCCCAGCAATCTTAGTTCTCATTCCACCGGCCCCTGATGCCCAGCGATCTAAGTTCTCATTTGACTGGCCCCTGATGCCCAGTGATATCTTAGTTCTCATTCC